AATCTCATCTCTTTCTTTCCATTTTTTTTGGTTCTCTTTCGCTTCTGCTTCCAGCTGGAGTAGAGCACGGTAGGAGGCTGAGGAGGGAGAGAGGAGAGGCGGCCTTTACGCCACTCGGCAGGGCTAATCAGCTCCATCAATTAACTAATCCGCCATGCAAAGAAAGATTAACCGTGCGAAGACGGTGGTCTCGGGATCCGGCAAGTGTCACTTTTGCGGTCAGGCGCCCGGGCGGGGCTTCGTCGCGGGGCCGCGGGCACTGGCACTCTGGCAGTGGCAGCGACGACGGACAAGGTGAGGCGCGTGAGGGCGAGCGTGCGACGCAGGAGACGCAGACGGCAGACGCAGCTAGCGCGAGCGCAACCAACCGCACCGGCAGCACAGCAGGCATCGGAAGCGACGGGGCACGTGAGGTGCGGGCGAATGATTCGTTGCGTGGAGCCGTGGAGCCGGGACGCGGGCTGTCGGTGGCGACCAGGCCCTGCCCCAGCCGGCCGGCAGCCGCTAGTAACTGATGACTGCGCTGCACGACGATGTTTACGGCCGCGGCTCTGGGTGGGTCTGGGCCTGGGTCTGTCTGTCACCACACCAGCGGCCGTTTACCCGTCCAGGAAAGCGCGGGGCCCCTTGCCCCGCGGCCGCCGCTCTGTCGGTCATGCCCTGCGCTGCCGGCTCCTGCAGGCCCGGCGGCCGTGGAGCAAGCTGCAAGCAGAAGCTGTGCCTGCGGTGCTCGGTGCTCTGCTCCCTCCGGAACCGCGGGGCTCCGGCCTTTCTCCGAGCAAGCAGACGTATCGCCACTTCACGTGTTGGAACTCGGCAGATCAGATATTCACATGAGATCAAAAGCGTACTCCGACAGTCCGACATGAACAATTCAACACCAAGGCGTCATTCGTGCCTTCTTGGCGAATCACGGGAACGATCTCTAGTTTACTGCGATGTACGGAGTGCTAGCTTACAGTCCGACATGAACAATAACCACAAGCCAAGTACCACAGCATACGTCGACAAAGACATTGTTTAGTCCATACTCTAAAATTTAGTACTTTATCACATCGTATGTTTGACACATGACATGTAGTATTAAATATAGACTTAAAAAAAAATAACTAATTGTATTGCGACCACTGTGTGAGACGAATTTTTTAAGCCTAATTAATCCATGATTTGATAATGTGGTGCTACAGTAAATATATGCTAATGGTGAATTAATTAGGCTTAATAAATTTGTCTCGTGGATTCCTGAGAACTTCTGTAATTTGTTTTATTATTACTATCAAACACTCACATGTAACATCCGATATGACATCCCTAAACTTTAGCCCCTGGATTTAAACACCACCAAAATCAAAAACAAAAAGTACCACAGCATAAATAAAAACAGATCAAAGTTAAAAGCCGGGATAGCAGTGGTATTGGCCTTGTGCGAATGTTTCTTTGACACCCGGTGCAGTGCCGGGCCGCAGGAGCGCGCCCATGACCCAACCAAAACTGCTGTTGCGCTGTACAACGACTGCGAAGCTGACAATAGGTAGCAGACCCACACTAAGGGCCTGTTCGCCTGATGTTAAAATCGGCTGATAAGCCGGCTAAAGCTAATTTGTTGTGAGAAAAAAATATTATAGATTTTAGCTGATAAGCTCGACTAATAAGTTTGAGCGAAAAAATACTGTAGATTTATGGCTTCAGAAGAAGGTGAGTCTGCCGGCGTCAGTCCTTTTCTCAACCTGTTTGGGTAGTTCGGTGTCGAGGCCATGGACAAATCTGAGCTAGCTAGTAGTAGTTCTGAAGAACGATAAATAAAATAGACATGTGAAATTAAAATAAGTGGAAGAAAAGAGGCGTTAACTTTTGACAGTAGGACAAACAAGAGATGTTTAGGAAGGAGCCCAAAACTAACTTTACATGAAACAAAAAGGAAAGAAAATGTGGAACAGAAAGAGAATGGATTTAATATTTTCATAAAAAAAGAATGGATTTAATAATCTTCAAGTGGTCGAGTAGACAAAGGACAGCAAGATCGCGAGATCCAATCAGGGAAACAAGGATCAAACATGAAAAGGAATCCGTCCAGGACAATGGTTTCAGGAAACGGAGCAAAATACAGTAGTATACTAGATCTCGATTGATCGACCACTTGGCTGGACTAGACATGTTTCATGGCGATACAATGCGTGATCTATTCAGTCTGTTACGATCAAATTTCCAAGGATCTCTGATTGCAGTTGCAGCGCATCGCTTGTTGCTGGATCCATGTGGCGCCGTTCCTGCATGTTTGAGGCCCTCCATGCACGTTGTACAACACTACAGGTGTACATGTCGACGTAGAGGGACCAGCCTCTCTTTCCCGTCATTTTGTTTTCGATGCAAAAGACGGCCATCCATGAAATGGGGGCAATCATTACTGCTCCTTTCTTCATGAATCTGTGACAATCTGCATCCCAAGTGCGGACGTGCTCTGTCTGTATAGTATGCTAGAACGTCATATATACTACTATTTTTCATCGATGAGTAGGAGAAATCTTTTGTAGAGTAGGACTGTAGGAGGAAGATGAGAGTTTACTAATAGCACGTCATTGCTCGCTCTCTATCTATCTATCTATCTATCAATCTACGAAAGGAAAGGCAGCAGATGAGGAGCTAAAAATACGCTAGAAACAAGCCACCCAAGATTGGATCTTGCAGAATGCAGATGCCCCACTCCACTGTGCGTCTGTGCGCAGAGCGCAGGCAGCGACAAACTCCGCCTTGCCCCCATGGGCACCACCACCTGACCACCACCTCCACGCCTTGCATGCCTGGCTCCACGAATCCTAAACCCAACACCGGCACTTTGGATGATTACTAACTAGTTGTCCATTGGTTGCGCCTCGTAGATGTAGATCCATGGAACTGCAATTTTTTGCAGCCATGTTGCGTGCATCATCAAGCTGGACTTGTCTGTCAGGTGCAGCTAGCCGTGCAGGCAAAGGCGGAGGCAGAGGCAGTTGTAGAGGTGGAGGTCCCCGGACGGACGGGACGAATATACGGCGTGGGCACGTACTGGCCTGCGGACCTGGCCATGTGTGAGTGCACAGTGTGCACCAGCGCCCCGGCGGCTCGCTCAATGGAATGGGATACGAGGACATGCCCTGCCTCTGCCTGTCATGCCATGGATCGCAGACCTGAGAGAGATTTTCGCGTGAAGCTTCGTCCTCCGCTGGCGCCAGCAGCTAACAGGTGAAACGAATCGTTCAGGTTTGTGTCTGTTCCATTCCAGGCATGTCAAAAAGTTCTCAGCGAGCCATCCACAAAGATTATCCATGGCTAGGCTAGCTAGGCCACCAAGCCTGATGCCAGCATATTTACACCGTGTCTCATCTCGAGTTCGTAGGTCTTTTTAGAGACTCATCGCCAATGATGCAAATAATGACAGTACATGTTATATATACCGATGGTACCATGATCATACACCCACACGCCACGTCTGAAATTCTGAACGGTCTTACGGAGGAGGCAAAGCCAAAGCTTCATCGGGCCCAGGGTGTGCCTGGCTCTTGTTTTTTTTCTTTTCATCTTTGTCTCTATCTTCCTTCTATGAAACCCTGACGAATCTGACATTGAAAGCGTACTGTACGTGCTACACGAAAGCTCTGGCAGTGATTCATTCATAAAAAGCTCTGGCAGTGCGCGGTGCTCCGAGACGAAGCTAGTTTTCTCGCACGACGATGCCGGTTGTCTTTGTGTTGGCGCATCCGAGGGAGGATTCGTGTGGGATGCTGGACATGGACATGGACATGGACATGGACCTGTTGTTTGCAGCTGCCACAGATCCAGGAGAACCTAGCGGCATAAACTGAGAGCACACCGCACAGGCATCGCATCAGCGAAACACAACAGCACACGTAAGAGTACAGTAGGTCGTAGGGCAGCGAGCGGGCAATCGAGCATGGGTCGCCAGCGCAGCACGCAGGCAATGATCAGGCAGATTCGGATGTGCTCGATCGATCATGTTCACGTTCAGCGCCATCCATCGTCGTAGCAAGTACCTTGCTTGCACGTAGGCTCACTTCACTTGGCAGGGCCAGCGACATGAGTTCCACTCCTGTCGCCTGTACCGTGATGATGATGCACACACACCACACGAACAAGCAGCAGCGATACGTTTGGAGGGGCGTGCTAATGATTTGCGTCGACTAATAATAATAGATAAAAAGTCTGGCAAAATACAAGCGGCAACAAATACCGCAGTTTCAATTCAGCCAATTCCTGTCGCCGTTTCAATTGGTGGGAGGTTCCACCTCCGACCCAGATAAAACAGCGTGATTTAAATTTCACGTGTCAATGGGCTGGAGGTATATACCGTATAGACTTTCAAGATTTGCACTCAGATATTCATTTTTTACCAACAAGAAAACGAAAGTGAATTTAAAATATAAAAAAAGCATGGAGAAGCGTCCAAGGGGGACAAGGTAAATAGGCCAAGTAAGGCTCATCACACCAATAAGAGATTTTCATCAATATACTAACACATGAATTGTGGTGGATTCAAGTACATCCAAACAAGGCCGCCGATAGGCAAGCCACAAATCATGGCCAGATCACGACGTTAAGTCACTGGAACAGCTCAAACAAACAGAAACGCGAGCGCTAGCACTTCTGGACAATGGTACTAACTATGCAGGTTTACAACGACCCATCATTTTTACACCAACCTTGGAAACTGTCAACCACTTTACATGTTTTCCTGGGGGCAAGAAAACAGAAAAAGAAACATATGGAGGCGGGGGCCAGTCCACAGCGCCTTCCAAAACCACCACGCTGCTCACAACACCTAAAGCACACAACCAAACCAGTAAATTCCTCCTCTACAAACCAGAAGGTAAGGCATGACAAAGCCAATGGAACCAGTAGAGCTTTGAATGCCAAAGGGGCCGCTGCTCACAATACCACATATCATCATAGGGCAGATAACTGTCAGCCTACAGTTAGCTGTGTTATTTATCATACGATGAAGATAATCATGTGATGAGAAAACGCCAAATCTTCTTTGCTGATGACGCCTTCTCTTCCTCCTCGTCTTCATCATCAGAGTCCTCATCTGGTTCATCCTTGTCCTCGGAGTCCACAACACCATGTCCGTTTGATGGCTCAGTTGCAGACTGTAAAGGCAAAAAATAGCAAAACAGTTAGATAAATGCTAACAACGAGAATCCATGTATGACTAATCATGCATATAACTTCTAAAAAATATGCTCAATAACATAATGGTAGCTCAGACAACTTCATTTCGCACAAATTCCACTAAGAAAATTAGCAACTCCATATTGCATAGTTTAACAGTAAACACAAACATGGGTTTTTACTGGTGCCTCCAAATTTATATAATCACAATGTACAATTTTCCGAACATGGGATGCCATAAGTTCAAGCAATATCTACGAAATTAATAACAATGTTCTGATTAATCTGTTCACGGAAACTTAGATAAATTCCTTCTAGTAAAACAAACCTGTCCTTGTATGTACAGATGCAAATACTAAATAAGGGGGGATACGCCACATGATGGGATAAGTCTCTGTTGGCGGTCTTTGTGGGGCTGGCTGCAGCAGCATCTTGACTGAGAGGACAGCATCCTTACAGCTGGTCTTTGTGGGGCTGGTTGCAGCATCATCTTAGCTAAGACAGCATCTTAGAGGACAGCATATTAGGACAGCATATTAGCATATTAGACTAGCATCTTGGCATATGCTTGGCTGACTAGCAGCCTATAAATATGTATCCCCAACCCCTCAGGTTGGCATGGCATTGAGAAATAAACCACAAAATTGTCCCAACTCCTAGTGTCATCATCTCTCGATGAGAGTAAGAATTCTGCTACTACCAAGAGTGAGAATTCAGCGACTAACAACTAGTATCAGAGCCGTATTATCCTATAGCATGAGCATCTCCTGCTCATCTTCTTTCCCAGCCTCGCAACAGCCCCAGCTAGGAGCAGCAGCAGCTCCGGCTGCTCCTGCTCACTCCTCAGCCCTCTCCCCATGCAAGAGCCCCCCAGTAGTAGCGTCATGTCCATGAGGCGATCTCGGCCTTCGGTGCGCCTCGAGCGCTGGCGTCGGCAGGAGGCCGAACTTGCCGCGGCAGAGGAACACGAGCGAGCGGCGGCAGAGACCACTGCGGCGGCGGCAAGGGCGTCGAGGTTGGCAGCGGAGGAGCTGGCAGCAGCGGAGGTCGAGGCTCTGCGCGGCGGCAGCATCGGCAGCTCCATTTCCGCTGACGACATTGCCGACGCGGACCTCGAGCTGCTAGAGAGGGAGGCAGCGCGAAGCTGGCGGCGGCATGATGAGCGCCCGCAGACGCCCACGAAGCGCGTGGCGGCAGCCTGTGACAGCGCGGACGCGCTGGCGGCGCTCCTGGAGGAAGCGCGCACGGCGGTGGCGCTCTGGCGCAGCGCTGCGAGCGTGGCGGCAGCCAGACAGAGCGGCGCGCCTGGCGGCGCTCTGAGGAGCGCGCAGACGCCCACGAGCGCTGGCGGCAGCCGTGCAGAAGCGGCGGACGCGGCGCGGCGCTCTGGAGGGCGCGCGCGCGGCGGTGGCGCTCCTCGGGGGCGCGCCGCAACAGCGTGGCGGCGAGGGTCGATGGAGAGCGCAACCTTCACAGGCAGCGTGGCTCTCTCACCCCGGATCGGTACCATGGTTTCCAGGCTGTTGTCAGGGACGTCGGCCCCGGCGGTGGGTGGCCTACCCTCACCAAGACCAACTACGTTGAGTGGGCTGCGGTGATGAGGGTAAAGCTCCAGTGCGGCACATGTGGGAGGCGGTCCGGTGACTGCGGCGGACGTCGACCACGACCATCGGGATCGACGGTATTACTGGATGCCCTCATCGCTGCGATCCGTCCGAGATGCGATTCTCGCTTACCAACAAGCGGATCGCCAAGGAGGCTTGGGACGCCATCGCTGCAGACGACGCGCGGCAGCGACCAGCGCGCCGCAAGTCCACACCGCAGCAGCGCCGCAGGAGTGGGAGAACACGGTCTTCAAGCCGGTGAGGGCGTTGATGACTTTGCTCTCCGTCTCAACACTCATTGCGAAGATGATTCGATTCGGCGATGACACCTACGGCGAGAGAGAGAGAGTCGAAAAGCTCTTCCGCTGCGTCCCCGAGAAGTATAAGCGGATGGCTCGCTCGATCGAGTCTCTGCTGGATCTCTCCACGATGTCGATCGAGGAGGCGATAGGTCGCCTCAAGGTCGTCGACAATGATGATGAGCCTGACCTCTCTCGGGGCCCATCACCATCGGGCGGAAGCTCCTCACTCGGGAGCAAAGTGGCTTGCCGACCAAGGTGACCGAAGAAGAAGGGGAGCCTTCCTCCGCGACAGCGGCCGCATAAGCGTGGCAAGCCAGCAGCAGACGCCAGCCGGGCGCGAGGACGCGCCGAGGGTGATGCTCGCGAGGCGCCAGTAGGGCGGCGGCAGCGGCAGCACAAGCCAAGACGAGACGACACCGCCGAATCTGCGGCGGCTTGGCCATTGGGCCAGGGATCGTCGGCAACCACGACGCGGCGGACCCACGTCGACAAAGCGGAGGAGTCGGCTCTATTCATGGCACATGCAAGCATCGAGCTACCTCGGTGCGCTGCCGCCGCAGCTGCTCTCCACCTTGACGAGCAAAAGCACACGCCCTCCTCGGCGGCGGCGGCCCAAGCAGCGACAAGACCGACGGGTGGTGCCTCGACACAGCGCCACCCATCACATGACCGGTCGACGGAGTTCTTCACCGAAGCTTGACTCTAGCGCCCGAGGCTCCGTCAAGTTTGGGGATGCCTCCGCGTGGACATCAAGGGCGTCGGCTCCGTCATCTTCACTGCTGCGTGTCGGTGAGCACAGTCGCTCACCGAGTCTACTACATCCCGCATTGAGGAACTCTATCATCAGCTTGGGACAGCTGGATGAGAACGGTTTGCGCATGGTGGTTGAGGATGGAGTCATGAGGATTTGGGATCGCCGGCGTCGCCTTCTTGCCAAGGTAACCAGAAGCGCAAATCGACTCTACGTCCTCAACGTGCAGGTGGCACAAACCCTGTGTCTCGCTGCTCGTCGGGACAACGAGGCGTAGCAGTGGCACGAGCGTTTCGGGCACCTTCACTTCGAGGCCCTGAAGCGGCTCAGTGCCACGGAGATGGTGCGAGGCCTACCATGCCTCGACCATGTGGAGCAGCTCTGCGACGTCTGCGTGTTGACAAAGCAGAGGCGACTCCCCTTTCCCCAACGGGCAAGCTTTCGAGCCAAGGAGAGGCTCGAGCTTGTGCATGGGGACTTGTGTGGCCCGGTGACACCGGGAGGACGATGCTACTTCCTGCTGCTCATCGACGACCTCTCCCGCTACATGTGGGTGATGGTCCTCGGCAGCAAGGGAGAGGTCATGACGTCATCGAGCGTCTTGATCTGTCATTGAGGAGGAGCGCGGCAGCGCAAGTGCAAGACCGACAACAACAATGGCGAATTCGCGGCGGTTTGAATTCGCGTCGATCTACCGATAAGGGCATTTTCGCCACTACTCCGCGTCGTCTGACCCGCGGCGATCTGGCGTCGTCGAGCGACGTAACCAGACGGTTGTGGGGATGGCTCAGGCCCTTCTCAAGCAGAGGGGGATGTCGGCTGTCTTCTGGGGAGAGGCGGTGGTGACGGCCGTTTACATCCTCAACCGCTCGCCTACCAAGGCCCTCGACAGCAGGACATCGTACGAGGCTTGGCATGGGCGCAAGCCGGCGGTCTCTCACTTGCGGGTCTTCGGCTGCCTCGCGTTTGCCAAGGAGCTTGGCCACATCAGCAAGCTCGACGACAGGAGCACTCCGGGAGTGTTCATCGGCTACGCGGAGGGCTCGAAGGCCTACCGCATCCTCGACCCGAAGACACAGCATGTGCACACGACACGTGACGTTGTGTTCAACGAAGGGCGAGGATGGGCGTGGGACAAGGCGGTGGACGACGGCTCGGCTCCGACGTACGACGACTTCACTGTCGAGTATGTCCACTTCGATGGAGCTGGGGGAGTAGGCAGCTCTTCTTCGACGAGCGCGTCTACCCCAGTCCCCGAGCCTCCACCGACCCCGGCGCCTGCTACTCCGACAGCACCACGCTCTCCAGCCAGGACCTCGGCTGCGATGAGTTCTTCGCCGGCCCACCACGGTACCGGCAACGCCCGCACTCCAAAGACCGAGCAGGCACCACTCCGCGCACGTCTACTCCACCACCGGCTCGTGTCGAGCACGGCCCGATTGAGCTCGCCACTCGCTCGCTCTCTCACGACGAGGAGCGCGATCGACGCGATACACGACGATGGCGAGCCGTTCTTGCGGTACCGTCTGTTGGAGAACCTTCTCGGCGACCGGCCCGGTCTGCCGGACCGGTGCCTCACGACCTGGAGGCGCAACTAGTTGCACCTTGCGTGTGACGACGGCGAGCCTCGGTCGTTTGCAGAGGCCGAGAGACACGCGGCATGGCACGCCGCGATGCAGTTGGAGATGGATGCGGTTGAGAACAACCGCACCTGGGAGCTTGCTGACCTTCCTCGTGGTCACCGCGCGATCACCCTTAAGTGGGTGTACAAGCTGATGAGAGATGAAGCCGGCGCCATCGTCAAGCACAAGGCTCGCTTGGTGGCACGAGGTTTCGTGCAGCAGGAGGGGGTCGACTTCGACGACGCCTTCACTCCCGTGGCACGGATAGTCTGTGCAACTCCTTGCGCTTAGCCGCCGGGAGGGGGTGGCGTGTTCATCACATGGACGTCAAGTCGGCGTTTCTTAACGGTGACTTGAAGGAGGAGGTCTCACGTGCACCACCGGCCGGGATTTGCGATCCCCGGCAAGGAAGGCAGGTGCTCGCTGCGCAAGGCCCTCATGGCTTGCGGCGAACGCAGAGGCGTGGAATGCCAAGTTGGATTCCACGCTAAAGGGATGGCTTGAGCAAAGCCCGCGACGAGGCGGCCATCTACCGCCAGGCGGTGGAGGAAATGCTCTGCTGGTGGGTGTCACGTCGACGACTTGGTGATCACCGGCACCAAGGATGCGGAGGTGGCGACATTCAAGGAAGAGATGAAGGCCACCTTCCAGATGAGTGACACAGGGCCCTCTCCTTCTACACACGGGAATCGAGGTGCACCGACCGGGATCACGCTCGACGGACCGCCACGCCTAAGCGCCGCCGTTGAGCTATTTGGGCTCACCGACGCGCAACCCAGCTCTCACTCCGATGGAGAGGTGAAGTCGAGCCACGACAACACGACGGAGGAGGTGGGCGCGCACGCAGAGACCGGCGTCTTGTGGAAAGCCTTCGCTACCTCGCCCACACACGGCCGGACTTGGCATTCTCCGTCGGCCACGTTAGTCGGTTCATGCAATGACGAAACAGCGGAGCACCAAGCGAGGTGTGAAGAGGATCATCCACTACGTTGCGGGGACTCTCGACCACGACCTCTACTACCCTAGGTGCCACAGGCGGCACACGTCGAAATGCATGATGACAATGACCACGCCCGGCGACATCGACACCGGCAAGAGCACAGCGGGATCCTCTTCTTCCTCGGCAAGTGCCTCGTTAGGCTGGCAATCGGTCAAGCGGTGGTGGTGGCCTCTGTCCATTGTGAGGCCGAGTACATAGCGGCCTCCTTTGGTTCAACTTCAGCGCTCTGGCTCGCTCGATCGCGCTTGGTGATCTCTCGGCAGAGACACTAGAGCGGTGGAGCTCGGGGTGGGACAACAAGTCCGCTCTGGCCTCGCAAAAGAACCCGTTTTCCATGAACGCAGCAAGCACATCCGGGTGAGGTACCACTTCATCCGAGGTTGTTTGGAGGAAGGGAGCATCAAAGCGAGCTACATCAACACCAAGGACCAGCTTGCGGACCTGCTCACCAAGCCCCTTAGGAGGATCAAGTTCCTTGAGCTCTGCTCCAAGACCGGGATGGTTCAACTTTCCCACAAGACGAGGCACAAGACTTAGGGGAAGAATGATGGGATAAGTCTCTGTTGGCAGTCTATGTGGGGCTGGCTGCAGCATCATCTTGACTGAGAGGACATCATCCTTGCAGCTGGTCTTTGTGGGGCTAGCTGCAGCAGCATCTTAGCTAGGACAGCATCTTAGAGGACAGCATATTAGAACAGCATATTAGCATCTTAGACTAGCATCTTAGACTAGCATATTGGCATATGCTTGGCTGGCTAGCAGCCTATAAATATATATCCCCAACCCCTCAGGTTGGCATGGCATTGACAAATAAACCAGAAAATTATCCATCGCACTAAACATTACTCGTTCACAAAACAAGGTGGAAAACATTAACCAGGAATATATAATGAGCATTGAGTAGCTACCACTGAAATATCCTCTGAATGCTGGGAAGCATCTGATTTCCCATTTACTAAGAGTACATCATCAGATGAAGCCAGTTCTCCTGCTTGGGGAATTATGCGGTCCCTTCCCACATAAACCAACTGGGACTGCATCATGTTCATTCTTTGAACATTTTCTTCTAGAACTGATGGACTGCTGGCATTAGACACGACGATACATAGTAAGAAAAAACTAATTTTTTATCAAAAATTGAAACAGTTCAGTAATAAAAAAGGAAGGATACCAGTTGGAATCAATTTCTCCTCCAATCACTCTCAAAGTCCGAGTAGTGCTCCTTTGCTGCTTTCGTTTTGGCTGTAAAATTTCAGAGTCACCATGCGAGAGTGCATTATTAAGCCTCTTTTTCCCAACTTTCAGGCCATCGACAGTTTGTGGTACTTTCCCAGCACCATTTTCCAGCTGATGAGCAAATATTCCATCTGAATAGGCAGCAGCTAAGCTGGAGTCAATGACATCAGCCAACTTTGCAGGTACCAATCTATCATTGTGGGGATCAGCACTCTTCTCTGGAGAGCGTTTGAATATAAACACCTGAGCACATTTTCTGACCCAAGAAATTGGGGTGGAGACTGAGGGGGACACTTCCAATTTCTTTACACTAGTTTGTTTTGTACTAGCATTTTGATACTCATCAGGAGATAGGTGAACACCATTCTCTTTCAGGTTTTCCACACCAACATGCTTTGATTTCCCACACTGTCTCAAAGACAGTTGCTTGTTCTCAGACTCAATCTTCAGCTCTTCTAACTCATTAAGCTGCTGGATTTGCAGTGTAATTGATTCTCGGTCTGAATGAAGCAGTTTTCTTTGCTCTTGCAACTTCTCGCGTTGCTCATTAAGCGCGTCTATAGTGTTCTTCATTTCAGACAGCTCTTGCTCTCTCCTCTCTCTCTCCAGCATAGCTCCTTTCCTCTCTTCCTCAAGTTTTTGCAATTCAAGCCTGACATGTTCTAGTTTTGAGCTGATAGTTTCCTTTTCAGAATTGATGTACTCAAGTTCCTTAGATTTTTTCTGCTTAAACTCCTCTTCGTTTTCCCTTAAATATGAATCTATTTCCATCTGCCTTGCCTTTGCAGAATTCAGTAACTCTATTCGCTGGATATCAATGTCTTTCTTCAGATCTTCTCTTTCTTGTTGTATCCTGCTTAGCCAACTAGCATGCTCTTGCTGCATCTTATTCATGAATTCATCATGTTCACGAGCAAGGGATTCTGCACTACTTTTGAACTGAACACGGAGATTTTCCTTCTCTTGTTTGATAATATCAAGTTCGTTCTTGAGATGCTCATCCATTACTCTTCGTTCTTCAGCAATCCTGGCTGCCTCCTTTTGTAGTTCGTCCTTCTTCTCATCGATCAACTCCCATTCAATCTCAAACCTTTCTTTTTCTGCTAATAACCTTTCTGCATCAACCATTAGGTCAACTTTTTGGGCTCTCAGACTGTCAATTTCATCTTTAAGTTTCACCTGCAAACTTTGTAAATCTTCTCGTTCATTTTGGGTTATTGCTAGATTCTCCTGAGCTTCAATTGCTTCACGCTTCTCCTCCTCAAAGAAAGAATTTTCCTTCTCTAAATCCAATTTCATGTTCCGAATTTCCTCTTTTTCTTTTTGCAGTTCCATGTGCAGCGTCTCTCTCTCAGAGGAGAGCCTTTTCTCTTCCTCCCTTAACTCATCTGATTTCTTCACCAAAGATTCTTCCTTGTTCGCTAATTCAGCAAGCCCAAGGTTGAGATTTTGTTCCCTTTGTGCCACTGCATCCTCCTGCTCATTGATGGCAGTTTCCCTCTGATCCAGCAAGGCTTTCCTCGCATCAATCTCTTCCTCAAAAGAAGCAAGCTTAATTTCCATCTCAGTGTCAAATTCCTGCCTTCTCACCAAGGCAACTTCTTGCTCTTGACGCAGCAGCCTTTCTATTTCAGCCTACAGCAAATATCATAACGATTCAGAAGTGTGAACTCAAGATAAATTGTGCACACATCATACTGATTCAGAAGCATGAACTCAAGATTAACTGTGCACGCATCAAATGATACTAGAACTAGAAAACCATACCCTTTCTTTGCTTGCAATGGTCTCTTGGAGAACCAATAGTTCACTTTCACGTTTGTCAAGTATGGATTCCTTCTGAATTATAGCCTACAATACAGCATTATATGTCAAAATCATAATCTCAGTAACAAAGTACTGCTAAGAATAAAAGAGTGAAACAAGCTTCCTGTCATAAGCTTCACAACAGAATTCTGCTAGATAACAAAAGAATAAAGTGAAACAACACATACTTCCTCCCTAGAAATAATTGCCTGCATGTTCAGATCCAGCTTATTTTTCTCTTCCAAAAGAACCTTTCTTTCATCTTCGAGATTTAACTTTTCCTCCTCCAACCTTTTCTCTGAGCGAGTTATGTATCCAAGTCTCTCAAGGATGTTGTCATCCCTCTGATTAAGAAGTAGTTGTTCTTTCAGTAAAGATTGCTCCTTTACATGCAAAAGTTTTTTGGTATCATCCAACGATTTCCTCAGGAGGTTAATCTCTTTCTCTTTTGATGCATTCCTGCAATAACATGTTGATTTAGATAAATCGTATGGAAGCTATTTCCACAGATAAAATCATCATTCTGAACAAAAGATCAGACTGCACAATTCACAAATGACTAAATCAGTAAGACATGTGCAATTGATAATGAATGAACTCAAATAAACTAGGAAATCCAACATAATTCCACAAGAAAGTTGAGTACATACTCAAGTTCTAAAGAAGTTCGGTATCTTCTTAGCTGATCTTCACGATCTTCAATGTCTTGCAGACTTCTCAGAGAGGTATTGCGAGTTCGAATGCACTCTGCTTCTAAAGATTTTGCAGTGAGAAGTTTCTCTTCTGCTTCATCAAACTTTTTCTGCGCCGTCTCTATCATTTGAAGGGCTTCAGCCAGTTTTGCTTCATATGAAACTTTTACTTCAGCTGTTTCCCCACGCATATCATGAAGTGCCTTTTCAAGCTACATTGAAAACACGATTGTCAGTACCAGAGTTTAATTTGAGAGTCCCATCATCCCATGCAATTCTAATTGAGAGAAATCAAATACCACAAATCAGGAGTAACCTTTCGCTACAATTCTAAAAAAAATCATACAACAAATATTGCCTACATGATTTTTCAAAATGAGCCTATACTCATGTCCAGCAAGAAACAGAAGGAAGTTTTAGTTGCACACAAAACTAAGATGCTAGTGGAAATAGGGACTTTACTATCAGACGTTCTTGTTTTAGATCTCCCAGACTTCACTGCCTCACTACACTTTTACATGAAAAAGTTGATATATCAATGTCACTATGTTATCATGCACCAAAACCACAACAAGCTTCTCTTCAGAGACATCTCATTAAAAAAAATATATAACAAGCTTAGCATTCGGTGTATAATTTGACAAACCAAAGGAAAACATCATTTTCAGGTTTATGACATCAGCTTGCAGTGCATATTTTGACAAACCAAGGGAGAACATCATCTTTCAGGTCTATCACATCTCGATGATTAATTGAAATGGAATCTTACATTTGATATGCACTCTTTCTGAATGGCTAGATTTTTTTTGAGGTTTTCTTCCCTCTTTCTTGTTTCAGCTAAAGCAGACTGCTGGGATGCTCGTTCTCGCTTGAGCATGATCTCAGTGGCTTCAGAAGAAGCTTTAAGCTGTTCATATTTGGACGTCAACTCCTTCCGCTCCAATAAAATAAGCCCAAGATTGTGCTGGTAATCATAAATCTGCAGAAAAAAGATTTGCACTGAAATAAAAAATCGAACAACTAATGGCAAAACACGAGTTGTCTATCTTTCGAGAGATTAAAGCAAGCAAAGTTTAAAGCTGCCTAAAAAGATAAGCAGAAGCAACCAGTTAAACAATATAGTGCATACCAAGACAATTTTTTCCACCACCCGGCCACGGAAGGGAACACATCACATTATCAATGGGAAGACAACGTCATTTTCTCAGTTAATATGTAAAGAATGTTAAGTAACTGATACCAGAAATCATTAAATAAATTCATGTTAACACAATAACTGTAGCAAGTCGTTATTTTAAACAACTCATCCGGCAATGCGCAGAGCCAAATTGTTCAGCTACAGAAAAATGACACCTCCGCATAGGATTAGTAGGAACAGGAACTGATGGATTCAGCTTCTGCGGCGGCCTTGGAAGTAAAAGAAAATCACTCCAAAAATAGTTCGTAAAAAATGCAGCTATGATATGCTAGAAAAAACAACTGCATGGCGAGCTAGCTGCCGCAGCTACAGCAGTTGAAAACGCGAATCATCGCGGCCTATACCAAAAAGAAAACCAGGGAAACACGAAGGAAAACAGCAGAACTTGAGCAACTACAACCCTGTAACTCAAACTGCAAGAGCCATAGAAGAATCGTTTCGAATACAGGAATACCAATAGCTAATTGAAAATACGGCTTCTTTCACTCTTGGGCAACTCATCTGGCACAGCACTCATCGTCGTACCCAACAAATGGGGGAAAACAGGGCAACGAGAAAGAAACGCCAAAATCAATTTTCCCTCCCCTAAAAAATCCTCCCCTCCCCCCGACGACACAATCTCGCCATTGCTTTCCCAGATTCTTGACCGGGCAACCCTACTCGCCTCCCTTCGAAACAACAGGACTAGTAGAAGCACTAGGCCAGGTAACCAAGAACCGCACACCACCACCAAGCCAAGAAACCAAAACACCGCGCGTCGACCGCGAGGAGACTACCTCTGACTCGAGCCGCGAGATGTAGCCGATGAGCGCCGCCTTGTCCCGGCGCCTGACGGCGTCCTCGTCGAACCCGGCCTCGCGCAGCTTCCTCCAGATCGCCTCGTCCCCCGCGACGCCGCCTCCGGCCGACCGCGGGCTCGCCATGGCCAGGGGACCGGCGGCGGGGAACCCTAGCAGATCCTGACTGCGCCGCCCGCCCAGCCGCAGCCGCAACCGCGCGGCGAGGTCACGCGTTCCTCGCGGCGATCCGCGGGGAGCTCAGTGCTTTCCCGGCCGTGGGGTGAGTGGAGGCCTCTCTCTCCCCCGTCCTGTCACGACCCTTCTGCTTTTCTTTTCTTCCTCGCTTTCTCGCGTCTGCGTTTCCAGGTCCGGCTGGGGTTTTTACTCGGGTTCGGTGGGCAGGAGCCGCAGGAGGGAAGGAGGGAGAAAATTGGTTTGGTTCGATGCGTCATGCGTGGACGAGGGGGGTTTGGTTCGATGCGTCATGCGTGGACGAGGGGGGCCCAAATCGGATGCGACGTGAGCCGTGGCGTGGACAGGTGCACGTACGGCCAGTTCCGCTGGTTTTAAAGCCCGTTGAACAGTTCGATGGTATTAAAGCCCGTTGAACTGAATCTGATTTATTATGAAAAAAATCTATAGATTTTAGCTGATAAAAGTTGACGGATAAGTTCAAACGAACAGACATGTAAATGATTGTTGTTGTATCAGTATGGATTGATTATTAGGGGATTCTTCTATGATTTAGGCTCTATTTGGTTTACTCTATATTCGATTTGTTTGGTTTTTTTTAGTCGGAATAGTGTTTTTTTCTCACAACAATTCACTGGAATAGTATTTTCAGCCAGTTTCAGTTAAATTTCAGACCAGCGAACGGAACCTTAGGCCCTGTTTGGTTCTTTAGTCGTTTCTAAAATTCTGTCACATCGAATGTTTAGATACTAATAAGGAGCATTAAATATAGATTAATTATAAAATCAATTACATAGATGGAGGCTAATTTACGAGACGAATCTATTAAGCATAATTAGTCCACGATTTGACAATATGATGCTACAGTGAAAATGTGCTAATGATGAATTAATTAGGCTTAATAGATTCGTCTCATGAATTAGCCTCCATTTGTGTAATTAGTTTTATAATTAGCTCAGGTTTAGTCCTTCTAATTAGCATCTGAATATTCGATGTGACATAAATTTTTAGGAGCGACTATATAACCAAACACCCTCTTAATTTCCGTTTATTACGGGCCAACGCCAGCTGGGATGAACTGTGGTGTGATACCGTTATCTTTCTATGATACGATTCTGTTCCTTTTTATTTTCCCGCTCTATTTTTTAATAAAAATAATAGCATTTAAAACAAGCTAAAATTTAGTTTAAAAACAAACTCATGAACTTTGGGGTGCGCAGATTATATATCAGCCTGTTCGTCAAGTTGTATTTGACTTATAAGCCATAACTTATTAGTAAACGAATAGTATTTTTCTCTCACACTAAATCAACCAAAAAAATAAACTCATGAACTTTGGGGTGCGCAGGTTATATATCAGCCTGTTCGTCGGGTCGTATTTAGCTTATAAGCCATAACTTATCAGCAAATAAACAGTATTTTTCTCTCACACTAAACCAACCAACAATATTTTCAGCCATGGCTTATAAACCAAACAAGACCAAACAAACTGGGCGTATATCTTGAAGCTTTTTAGTTTTGGGATGGGGACTGTGGTGTTGATACTATGCACGACTCATAACCAAATGTTCAAGCAGAGTTTTTGTCATATCCTAGGCTCAACTGTTTGTCTAAAATCTCGTGTTTCAATTTGTCGGTGCAGAAAGTGATCAACACGTAAATATTTGTAGTTTTGCCGTACGTTGTGATTGGATGTGGCCTAGCACTCAATGACACAGTGTTTATACTTGTTCAGGCAATGTGACATACGTCCAGTTTGAGTCAATCGGTGACTTTATTCCTGAACCCAGGTGCTCGAAGTTTGCTGTGGGGTTACAAATGTAAGGGAGTAAGATGAGAATACAAGAGGTCCGATCGGATTCGGGACCGAAGGGCCGAGAGTGACGGGAGCTCCTACGTGCGCTAAGTATTCGAGCGTGTACTTTTGTGTAGCTTTAGAGTGTCTAAAGCTAACAGAGGATGAATCAATTATTGGTTGTTCGAATCGTTGAGAGTCCTTGGCGTCCTCTCAAATCAATCCTCTTTGTTGAGAGATAGAGCGTCCCCTTTTATAGATGAAGGGGACGACTTTACAAGCGAGAGAGAGGGGGAGTATGAATGCTACTAAGTCTTGTTGTCCACGTCATTGGGTACAAGATGATGGTAGACGGTCACAATACTGTTTGTGTCAGACGCATGTGGGAGGTTTTACCACATTCACCATGTATGGCAAATGACGGCGCCCACAACACTGTCGATGTCCAGAGACATGTGGGGGGTTTTACCGTGTTTGCCTGGTACGAGAATTGATGGCGCCCACAACACTGTAGGGCAACTGTCGACGCCTACAACACTGCTTGGGTTCTGACATGCTCAGAAGTTAGGATTCAAGGCGTCGTGTTTCTCCTGCCACAGTATGCATTCTAGGCGTCGAATTGGTCACAACTCAGAAGCTATGATTCAAATTTCAAATTTGGGTCTGTTCGTTTGAACTTATCGGCCAGTTTATCAGCTAGAATCTATATTATTTTTTTTCTCATAACAAATCAACTTCAGTCGGCTTTAATACCAATCGAACAGGCCCGCCGTTTGCTTCTTGCACAGTATTCTACCTTGTCCAGTAATGCAGATGTACTGACTAGCCGTTGCCCTGTCGCATCAGGTTTGCTTCAGTGAATGTTTCCGCACCATCATGGATCACTTGCACAAATGATCCATTATTTCACCTATAAGTTATAGGTAATGCTAGTACGTTACCAAGGTCAGCTGAAATTTATATATTAAAAAAACAGAGGGGAGGCTCAACACAAAATCACCTGTGACTCCTTATACCAAGCCTGTGTCAATAGCAGCCATGGTATGAGGGGAGGCATTAGTATCACTATTATTTGTGATGGTGAATAAATATTGTTAAATTAATTATGAATATTTTTTGTAGTAAAATCTATTTTGAGATATAAATGTTGATTGCATTTTTTAAAAATTAATCAAATGTAAAGAATTGACTTGTTCAAAACTAGAATTGTTTTTCTACATAGTATCGTTTCCCAAGAGAAAACAACAAACCTTTCTATAGCTCGGTTGTACAGTACTACATCCGTCTCTAACAGAATACAATTCTAGCACAATATCACGTTTTACTACCTTAAATTTGATCAATTATAGATAAAAAATTATCCATATCTATGATATCAAATAAATAGTATTAGATTAATTATAAAATATATTTTTATAATAAATTAATTTAAAGTCATAAATATGAATATTATTTACTAAAACTTGGTTAAACGTGAACCCCTTTTCATGACAAGTTACTACTCATAGATGCAGAACGGAGGTAGCAGTACCCTTTTCGTTCCCGGTGGGCGCTGCAGCCGTGCTAACCTGCACGGTGTACGCTGTATGTAGGCTTGGTCCATAGAAGCATCCGAGGGAGGAGAATTTTCGAGCAGGAAGTAGCCTGACAAGTGGGGTCCAACAGTTTGTGGCCCGCACGTCAGTGAATCCCCCGAGGTACAGGCTGTGGCGGCGGCGGCGGCTAAGTCCTTTTCCAACGCCCCGCTTCGGGAAAAGCTCGCCTTTACTGCTCGCTTGGCGCCTTGGACCGGAAAAAGAATGCTTCTCCCAGCCCGCTCCGCTTCCGCAGCAAGCCAAAGACCCCAAGTCGGCGCTGCGCACGTGGGCCCAGGCAGTCAAAGGGCCCACGAGAAAGCGGCACGGACGGCGGAACCGCGCCAGGAGCGCCAGGATGGAAGGACTCGGCAGGCTGGCTGTAGCTGGTGGCTGGTGCGGTGCGGCGCGGCTGCCGGCTGGTGGCCTGGACGCCTGGTGGCTTGGTGCTGCCGTGCTGGTGGGTTTCGGCGTGCCGCCCGCTGGCCGCTGCGTTTCGAGCTGTGATGGCGGAAAAAGGAAGGGCAGAGCAAATTGGCCGGTGCGGTTGTTGTGGCGCCCACATCCGAGTGCATTGGATAAACTGTACTGCTCGAGTTGGACTTTGGTTATGGTTATCTGGAATTCTGGATGAGAGAGAAAGAGAGAGCGTGTGGTGCCGGCCGCTCGCATCCGAGGTGGGTTTTTTTTTTGACTTTGACGGCTCCAACCGGGACCCAGGGCCCGTGGCGGCTCGTCATCTTTTATCCCCACGCTCCGTCGTGTACTACTCGAGTGCGACACCAAACACACACTGGCAGCGTATGTACGGCCGTACACGTACATATCACTAACATTTTTAATAAAAAAAAAAAAAAAAACAGGAGCAATTACGTTATTTACAGCGGCACGGCACATGACATCAGACCTCCATCCAGCAGAGTACCTGACCGCCACTACCACTGAAAGAGTCGTTACGTTATCCAGTGTTTTTCCTAACCTTATCAGCCATGTACACGCGCCATATATACAGAACAATGCTACTGAAATAGTGAAATGGCACAAGGCAGGAGCGGATTCAGCATCAGAATCAATACGAGGATCTTCGTTCTTCATGACGCAGCACTGCAGCAGTGACGGTGGTTGGGCAACGCGAATCGGCCCTCTTATTTCTGAGATCAAGCAATTGAATTTGGCTAGAGTGTAGTTCCTCAGGATGAAGAGGAGCCCTTGGCAGCTACAGGCTGGAAGAGCGCCCCTCCCGCCCCGTAGTAATCCGATAACCAGCCAGATATGATCTTCAGTTCTGATTCTCTTAGGGCCACCAGCCAATCTGGGTCGTCTGGAGTTGCGGGGCGCAGATCGATGTGATGTGCTCCTGCGTGCAAGTCAAAACCAAAATCATTAATTACAACTATTTCGGTATATTTCAACATTTGCCTCGCAAAAAACGTGGCCGGTTATGGCATATCCTCCCTCAATAAAAAAGTAAATTTAAATCTAACTAAACCTAAAAAAAGTACAAATATTTATGATCCTGAATAAATATCATTAGATTAATTATAGAATATATTTTCATAGTAAACCTATAAGAGGACATAAATGTTAATATTATTATTTTTTCTATAAACTTGGTAAAACTTAAGGAAACTTGACATGTTTTAAACCTATGATTACATTCTTTTTGGGACAGAAGAAGTAAATATTTACATCATAAAATTCAAGTGTAACAAAATGTAGTACATTGAAGGAATAAACTCAGTTTACTCTACAATCAATTTACTCTGTCTTTTCCTTGTAAAAAGGGTGGAGTCGAGCACCCAAGAGTACTCATTATCCATTCAGACTTAGTGTTGATATGGCGTGGGTGGCGTGGGGAGTGCAGAGGATAGCGAGGCAATGCTGCGGTGGGTCGCCGGTGGCCACAGCTGAATTGCCGGCAGCCACCGTCGAAGGAGAAGACCCGCCACCTTGGAAGGTCCTATTTCCATCGATGCCTTATTCATAGCAGATCCAGTGCCCTTTATACTCAGGTGCACTCCTAACGAACTAGGAAACCAACTCCTCATAATTCTCCCGACTCCTTCCTTCCTAACCAAAGGATGGCGCATGGGCCTTCTAACCAATGATGTTGCATGCGCCTTCTTATTTTAGCCTCTGGACCTGGCTTGCATGCTCCTGGAGACCTCTTCCACCGCCATAACACTACTCCACCCCTCCAAAACAGCTCGTCGAGCTGTGGCAATTGGTGGAGCGGAAGACTGCGCAGTCCAACTGAAAACCAAGATATGGTGGAATCTAATCCGCCCGGATCGAATCCATAGAGCGCCCGCACATGGAGTCGATGGTGCCCTCCACGAGCAGCCACCCCCACTATGGGTGCAGCAGAGCCCAACTGAAAACCGAGATCTGGTGGAATCTAATCCGCCCGGATCGAATCCATAGAGCACCCACACGTGGAGTCAATGGTGCCCTCCACGAGCAGCCACCCCCGCTATGGGTGCAGCAGAGCGGGGCTGCACTGGAGACGTACTCCAAGCGACCGATGGAGCTTGCAAGGCTTGCTGCGGAGCCGAAGGGGAAACCGTGTGTGCAAACATCCATGGCCCTGCTTGTGATGGCTGCAACGCCAGCGAGATGAAAAGGGATTGGTGCTGCGGCTGGTAGAGGCAGCGACAAAGGCACCATGACCGCCAATGTCGGTGCAGGGGAGATGACCTGCATTGGTGACGCTAGTGCCAACGGGGTTGTTGGCGAAGCTGGTGATGAGACTACCGGAGTCATGGCCACTGGGCCTTCGCTGGTGGTGTCAAGCATTGGACAGCGCCGCCCGCCGGAGCAGCCACCTGGTTGTCGTTCACGTTGGCCTGGTTAGCGATGGCCATGTCACCCTCCAAGGCTTTCACGGGGACGAGGGAGCGGCTGAAGGTGACCGTGGCGGTGGGTGTCGCTGTTGCCCCCATTTTCTTGTCTTGCTGGAATTTCTCCAGACGCGCAATGCGCTCGTCATGCGAATTCAATCGCTCGTTCATGGTGGAGATTTGCGCAAGGATGCGGTCGACCTTGGCATCCATTGCCACAGGATCGATGTGGAGGCCGGGCATGGATGGCGATGCCTCAGGAGTGGTCTTTGATACCAAATTGATATGGCATGGGTGGCGTGGGTGTAGGGTCGAGATGACAGACTAAAGGGGTGGATAGTCCTCTCTAAAAAAAATAACCGCGTCGGCTAACCGAAACAAATGCGAAATTAAAACTATCGGTCTAGTCAAGACTACACCCCTCTATCTAAGTTCACAAGCACCTTACAAAGATCCTAATTAAGTAACTAAAGTGCCGAGCTAGCTAGAGCTCACCTAAAACAATTTTAGAGCAAGGTCACCCAAACCTATGCACTAGTACTTTGCACAACCGAGGGAGCTCCTACACAACTAGTAAAGCAAAAGCACAAAGCTCCTAAGCTCACTAGCAATACTACACAAGCCAAATTATAGAGCGCAAGACACTTAGCTACACAAACTAAGCAATGGGACTAATAACAAGGTTACTAAAACCGAATTAGCCACGCAACGGAACTACTTCTATGCTACACAAGCAAGTAGACAACTAGCAAGCTACTAAAACTAAACTAGTCATAAGAGCAACTACACAAACACAATGTAAATGAAAGTAATACAAGCTTGTGTTTCGCGGAATGCAAACCACCGAGAAGAAGATGAAGACAATGTTGACACGACGATTTTCTCCCAATGTTCACTTGGTTGCCACCAAGCTACGCCCAATTGTGTTGACCGCTCACTTGGTGGTTCGACGGCTAATTAGCATCACCCGCCAAGCCCGCAAGTTGGGCACCGCAAGCCAAAAGTGAGGGTAGCCCAATGACATGCTTAACTAGAGTTGCTCTTCGCGATCCCCGCGGGGTGAGCACAACCCCCCTCACAAATCCTCATCCGGAACACCGCACAAGCTTCTCGCGTGCTTCAACGCAGTCACAAGCTACCAAGCCATCTAGGAGGTGGCAACCTCCAAGAGTAACAAGCACCATTGGCTTGCAGCTCGATCACCTAGTGTCATTCGATGCAACCTCACGATGCAACGCACTAAAATCACACTCACTGCAATCGGATCGCACTCTTGCAGCACAAGTGAGTTTGAGGGCATCCAAGCACTCCCAAGCATGGACACTCAGTCCCATGGGTGCTCAACCAGCCAAATGGCCGAGCTCCACCTCTATTTATAGCCCCCAAACCAAATAGAGCCGTTGGAGCAAAGCTGCTGGTTTCTGCGAGGGCACCGGACACGGCGGTGCCCTCCCCAACGGTCAAATTCCAATGGCTACTTCACTTAGCCGTTGGGGTCTTGGTCACCGGACAGCTAGGGGCGGCGCACCGCCATGCGGGTGGCGGTGACCACCCGGGCCAACTCCTCGAGATCCCCAACCTCTAGAAATTTAGGGCGGTGCACTGCCGTCACCATGGTAGTGACCCCCTCGCTCAACCACCGAAACAGCCAGCCTTGGGTAAAAAGTGGCGATGCCACCGGGCAACACCTGGCGGTGCGCTGCCCCGCACATGGCGGTGTACACGGTCATCGGCGGTGCCAGCCACTAACTTTACTGCTCTCGGACAAGGTCTGGTGGGCACCGCCCTAGGGGTGGCGGTGCCACCGGACAGGCAGTGGCGGTGCCCCCTAAGGCACTAGCCAACTCCTCCCTCTCGGCCTCCTGGTGGGCACCACCCTAGGGGTGGCGGTGCCACCCAGGCAGCACCCCAAGCCCGGTTTCGCTTCTTTTTCTTTACCAACTTCTTCATCTTTGTAAATGTGCTAACACCACCAAGTGTTCACCAACTTGTGCACGTGTGTTAGCTTTTCACAAATATTTTCTAAAGGATTAACCATTTCTTTCACCACGCCACTCGATCCTAACACGTATGCAAAGTTAGATCGCTCAAGTGGCACTAGATGACCGATATGCAAACAAGTTTGCCCCTCTTGATAGTACGGCTATCTATCCTAAACCCGGTCATGCACTTCTCTACACAATCTTTGACCGGTGAAATAAAATGCCCTAGGTTATACCTTTGCCTTGCGCATTACATTCCATGTCCTCCAGTGTTGATGCAACATATGCACCAACCAATCACAAATGATATGATCTACTCCATATCATCACGTAACCGTATTGGTTCATCGATCTTGACTTTACTTACTCTTCACCGTTGCATTTGTCCATCGACGCCAAGTCTTGCTCAAGCTTCACCGTTACGCGGTCCATCGCTCCAAAGCCTCCAACTTGTCCTTCACGCTTGCAACCGGTCCATCAAGCCAAGTCTTGTCTTGATCTTCTCCACCTTAGTCACATGACTCAATGTCATGTCTCATATGCAATGAGCTCCTTCATCACATGTGTGAGCCTTGCAACATATCCAAGCCATTTCACCTCCATGACATAGGTTGCTCACACACATGTACCTGTGGACTAGTCACCTATGTATCTCACATTAAACACAATTAGTGCACCTAGGTTGTCACTCAATTATCAAAACAAAATAAGGACCTTTCAGTGGGGAGCGCAGAGGATAGCAAGGCAATGCTGCGGTGGGTTCGTCGTCGGTGGCCACGGCTCAATCGCCGACAGCCACCGTTGAAGGAGAAGACCCGCCGCCTTGGGAGGTCCTATTTCCTTCGATGTCTTATTCACAACAGATCCAGTGCCCTTTATACTCAGGTGCACTCCTAACAAACTAGGAAACCAACTCCTAATAATCTTCCCGACTCCTTCCTTCCTAACCAAAGGATGGCGCATGCGCCTTCTAACCAATGATGCCGCATGCGCCTTCTTATTTTAGCCTCTGGACCTGGCGTGCATGCCCATGAAGATATGGTGGCCGTGCATGGTCCTGGAGACCTCTTTCACCGCCATAACAAGTGTATAAGTTTTTATGCGCACTACCTACTAAGTTCTAAAATTAAGATCATCTTCAAGAGTTCTCTAAATATTCCTCCTAAAAAGTCTATGTTTGCCAACTCCTAAAAAGTTTTTAGGAGAAAAAAAAGTTCATCTCCAATAGTTACTAATATTTGACTTCTAAAAAATCAAATGTTGGTCCCATTTGACGTTTTTTTTTCTGCAGACTTCTTTTTTTTCCACGCGAACCTCTTCGTCTTGCGCCGTATCCACGCCACGCCATACCAGATCCATCGTCGTGTTGCCCTAGCCCAGCCAATGATCGACAACCAGCAAGCACCACCGCAAGCAAACAAGCAGCATGCATACAGTACCATACAATGGCAAGTGAGTAGCAGCAAGCAAGCATGTGAGTAGCACGCAAGCAAGCAAGCGCTTCGTTGTCGCTTGGTGGCACTTCTGCTTCGTCCGGGGCTGCGACGGCTCCATCGTAATCAACTCCACGCCGTTGAGGAGGCTGTGGGGGAGCTGGTCGACGAGCGGGTGTTGTCCGGGCAATGGCAACGGCGAGGGCGGCGAGGAGGAGGCTCGGGCATGCCTCGCGGAGGAGGAAGAGGTCATTGCGAGTCTTCTTCTGCGGCGGTGCTCATCGTCGTCGAGAGGAGGCGCTCGAGGCGGCGTTGTTGCGGCGGCAGCGGCAACGATCACGACGGGGCGGAGGCGAGGAGGAGCGGCGGGCGATGCGTTGCCACCACCACCAGCCCCCCGCCCGTCGGAGAGGTAAACGGTGAGCCCCGTGGCGGGCGGGCGGCGGCGTCGGCGGCGGAAGGAAGGGCACCGAGGGGGAGGAAGTCGGCGGCCAGCGAGGGTGACGACGACGTGCCGGGCCGCCACCGGGTTGACGGATGCACACGTTGGCGACGCTCCGGTGCGTCATTGAAGCACACACCCACGCCCACTGGCGGCGGCGCTGCGAACCCGCCACGTTGTCGACGACGCGTCGCGGCCGGCGGCAACCTCCAGCACATAGGCGTGCAGCCTTGGCCGGGCGGCTGTCCAGCGTGATGATCACGGCCGCCGCCCGGCCATGCTCGCGCAAGACGCGACGCACGGCCTCCCGACCCGCCACCTTGCGAGCGAAGCTTTCGGCTCGGCGGCGGTGCTTCGCGCGTCCCGATCGACGAGCGGTGCCGGTCAAAGGTGGAGGAGGAAGCGAAGCGTGGGCAAGGTGGCGGTGTGGTGGTCTTTGCCGTCTTGCTTTGCTCTCCTCCGGCGATGACGGTGTTCCAGAAGGTGGGAAAGGCGCGGGAAGAAGCACTCCGCGGGAACGGCGTCTCCGCGCGTGGCTTCGTCCGCGTAAAGTTACGTGGAAGGGGGAGGAATTTTTCAAGTCCTAAAAGATTAGGAGTAAATATTATGAGTTGTTGGAGAGGGGGTTTTCCCCATCTTTCTAAAAATAAGGATTAGGAGGATGTTTAGGGAACTCTTGGAGATGCTCTAAAATAGGAAAAAACTATCAGATTGCACGAAAAACTATCATATTGCATAAGTATGGACTTAATGTAGACATAATGGGGACTGAAAATGGACGCAATGGAGACTTAATGTAGACATAATGTAGAATTCCCCTTCAGGTCGAGTTTTTTTTTATAATGTAGAATTAGTGTATAAGTTTTTCTACGCACCACCTACTAAGTTCTAAAATTAAAATAGGAAAAACAATCAGATTGCATAAGTATGGATTTAATGTAGACAATAGACATAATGGGGACAGAAAATGGACACAATCGGGATTGCATAAACAATACTGAGGGTATAATGGAGACAGCACAGTACCTAATGGAGCCACAATAGCAATGACACTCTCAGATATATTCTTCAGGACACTGCATTGTTCATATGGAAGCAAAATCAAGGCAATGAGATGGCTGGGATCAGATAAACTAGAAGACAAAATGAATGTTTGTTCACCCTCCGCCACTCCATGGGTCGAGAAGTCCATTGAAGAATATGATGTTACTACCAAACCTTTCCAGGACCTTAGTGATATTCTGGAAGGAAGAAAATAATCAATTAGACAAAGTCAACTCTCCAACAAATTATGTTCAGCCAAAATAATAAAATAACTCAGCAGGCATTTGCACAGCAGAACCAGTGTAGCAAAAATATAGCAATATCATAGCTTGTCTATAAGGTTCATGTGTACAGCTCAATCAAAAGCCACAGGAGACGAATTAAATAAGGTAAAAAGAGGAGTGTGTATTGTATGCTAAATAAGGCTCTTCAATAAACTAAATATTTCAGTGCTTCAAGGAACCAAAGGCGTATCTTGGCCAAGACCAAGAACATCATAGTAAGGGACTAAAATATGTTTGTTGAAGACATTATAATATTTGTCCCAGTTTAGATTTTTGATGTCTAGGGTAATAGGGTAAATGCCACTAACATGTTCTCATATAAATAAGATTCATATATGGGCCTGTTTGCTGCAACTTCAAGATGCAGCCGCTGCGGCTGCAGTAGGTTTTTAACTGCTGCAAAACACTGTAGTGTGAACTGAAAAAGCTGCAGCTAACGGGCCCATATATTTTTCATTCAAGAAAAACCTGTTATTAAAGAAGCTAAGCTGGGAACGTAATCAAAAGAATCTGTTTACTCGACCATAATATTGCAATTACTGAACACGACAATAGCTTACATGCCCACCAAATTCTGTTGTAATCCACCGAGGCCTTGGCCTGACACCATAGCTTTTGATGCAATCCTCAGCATAGGAAGCATAGTCAAATTTATATGGTGGATACATGCTTCTGCCTTCACTGTAAGACATTGGCATTACCATCTCGGTACAAGCCTGTGTTAACCAAGAACGAACCATAAGCCACACAATATAGTAGCTCACCCTATCAAAGAAAACCAATGCATAGAAGCATATATTAAAACTGTGGTTTCAGAACCTGCCAATCCCATCCACCCATTCCATGGGGATCATCATTTAGATCAAAGCAGCCAACAGTGCCAGTATAATTGTAGTATACATTTACTCCTGCATATATGCGTTCCAGAGTACTAGTACCCTCAGGTTGACTGTCGATATTTCTGCATACCTGAAACAGAGAAAGGGTAATCTAGTAAGCAGTGATAGAACTAATAATACAACATGATAATTACAGGGTTATCATGATTCATATGTTAACTTGTTGTGATTATTGGCCTATTGGGACAGAATACTATAAACAGTGCTAGCTTGTTTTGACTTTTGAACAGAAGCATATGCAGACACGTGCAATACAATGTATGACAATTGATGTTTAAGAACTAACTTCTTTAATAGGATTGGCTGGCAGAGGCATGAGAAATTCTGATGGAATTGGGTAATCCACCATGGCCAGATAACTGTAGGCTGAGCTCAACCAATCTGAAAGGTCTCCACTTGTTTTCAGGTCCTGCCAAAAGTTTGTACTTAACTATTATTAAGAAGAGCTCAGTGTAATAAAAAACAAAAAGTTAATAGTTTAGGGAGATGACTGACTGGCAAAGGTGGAATGTTTTGCTTAGTTTCAGAAGACCATCTTGCTCGTTTCCTTGGTCATCTAATTCTTTCCAGGAGTCTTTTATTGTAAGAAAGCAGCTTAAACTTTCCCTCTAAACACAAACACACAGACAAAAAATAGCGTCAGATTAGTCGAATAGTAGATAAAGAAAAGTAGAAACAAGCAAAAGATAGTAGAATACACACCCTAAAATCATCCGATACGAGATCATAGAAAATAGTAGAAGGAACAATGTCCTCAAACTGCAGGATTGGAGCTGATGATGCGAGAGCCCCAATAGCGATATGGGGATATTTGAGTCTCATCCAAGCAGCTAGCACTGCCCCCAATCAATGACATTAGTAGCAGGACATAATTCAAATTTCAATCACAAAATGAGTGCTAAGCCACCATGATATAAGAATCAGGAAACTAAAGCTGGAGTGCAGGGTTGGCATTGAAATAATCGAGTCGAAGACGGCTCTTACTTCCACCGTAAGAGCCCCCAAAGAGCACAACGGGGCTGCCCTCTGCAGATAGGTTCCTCTTGAGGTCAGTGAGCAGCACAGCGAAGTCAGCAAGCGCCTGCTCGGCCGTGAGATACGCCAGGGACTTGGAGTCGTTGTACGCCTCGGCTTTGCTACCGAACGGCATGGACTCTCCGTAGTAGCGATGCTGCAGCACACAAGCGAACGACCACCGATCGCACCATGAATACAGCGTTCCAAACGGAAAGTAAAAACGAAGAAGAGACACGAATAAGAGACGAGAGAGGCCGCGGAAGAACGATTGCCTCAGCGAAGACAACGAGGGCGGCGAAGCGCGGGGCGGCCTCCCAGACGAGGCCGGAGTTGGCGGCGAACCAGGCGATGTCGCCCTCGTTGCCGCAGTAGAAGAAGATGGGGCCGCCGGGTCCGGCCCACCAGGTACCGCTGCTGGAAGAACGCCGCCGCCTCGTCCTCGTCCCCGACCCCGGGAAAGCTGAAGTGGTCCAGCCGCTGCCGGAAGTATCGCGTCTCGTACTCGTAGTCCGCCACCCCATTAACTCCCGGCCGCGAGCGGGGTTGGGGCCCCGGGAAGCGGGGCAGTGCCAGGGACCACGCGGCCGCGGGGAGGAGGCCGACGAGGAGGAGGAGGAATCGGCGGAGCGGATGCATCATCGTGTTGAGGTGCTGGCTGTGCAAAGTGGAGTTCTTTTTTGAAAGTAATGCAAAGTGGAGTTCGTCGTCGGAGTGGGGGACCGGTGGAGGCTGCGAGAAACTGGGGGCGCTTCTGACGTGGTGCGTGACGTGTATGCCTTCTGTGGTTTCTGCGCGGACCCTCGCACGACGCACGCTCGCTCTCGCCGTCGCCGCGCACGTGAACATAGGCAATGGGCCTTGATTTGTGCTTGCATGCACTATGCACAGACCGTCATGTTCTTTGGGCCCAGAATGGATCGGACACGGGTTGCGATATTGCTCCAATCAGCATAAACTCAAAGTCAGGCTGACAATACGTTTGGATCCATAATTTTAGGAGCTCACATAAACATATTATTTGACTAATAAAAAATAAATATATTATGCAGGGTATTACGTAGGATCATCTAAATTTAGACAGGAAAGTTAGAAATGGCACAAACACAAGTAAGCAATTCATGGACTGTTTGGATCCCTTCATTTTGAAGGAATTAAAATCTACTTAATGGATTATTTATTTTAGAGGAATTGAAGCCTATCTCAAATTCTGGGAGATAAAATGATTCTATAGATCAACGTACTATAATTCTACTCCCCAACTTATAGCACAGGCTATTTGACTATAATAGAAATATTGATATTCCTAACAATAAATATACAAATATATTCTATATGCAACTATATTAGCTTAATTAATCTACGTCTAAATTATAATTATTAGGATGAATTCAATTCCAACGATCAAACGGGCCTAGTAGAATTTCATCTGAGGAGGTTTGCAGTTTGCACCAACAACAATAGTGGCACGCCAAACTTTAGCGGCACGAGACGGACAATCTCTACAACTAAAATATTTATAAAAGAATGATAGGCTGCGAAACCAATCTTCTCAACTTCTGCGAAACAAAGACACACTGGTCTTTAACTCACTTTCCTGCTCCAATAGACGGAATGCAACATATAAGTATACCCTTTGTACCCCCTAACAACAAATATACAAATATATTCTATCGAAGCTAATTTACAACTATCATTCAAACCTCGCCATAATTAATTTCTATGTCTAAAGCACAATGAATTATTAGGATAAATTCAATTCGGAGGAGGAAAAGGATCGAAAACGACGCCCAAGGTAGGTACGGGCAGCGCAAATACTTGCGGATTATGCCGGACACGGAGGAGGGGAAGGCGAACTCGGAGCGGCGTGCGGCGTGACAGGGGACCAAACTTTCGGTCGGAGACAGGCGTAGTTGAGGCGGAGAAGGTCGACCAGAAGGGAATAAGGCACTGCGGCAGCTGCTGTCGTTCCTTGCGTTGGCGCGGCGGCGACCGTCGGCAAGACTCGCCGAAAGCTAGCCGCCATGGCTCTAAGCCTATCAAACAAACTTGACCTTTTTTAGCGGCGAGCCCGATGGCTCGACGAGCCCGCTATGTCCGAAGCTGTGCCTCCACTTTGTGATTTATGGAGAGTTGATGGGTAGAAAAGTTAATTTTGGGAAAATAAACAAATGCATGCAAATCATCATTTACATTTTCAAAATACAAGGCGCTGGGGAGGCAAACACTTTATAAGTCCATATTTTACGCCATGTGCGAGATCGGGAGGTGAAGCCGATCTGCAGTGTGAATCTGGTGATATGGTGAAAATATTTGGAAGGTACCGGAAGCTTTATTTAATTCAAATATATGGTGATTTTTTTTATGGAGGGCTATGCATGTGTCAAGAAGAGGTCATCAAGAATGATGATGATCTTGACAGCTTATCCATTTTAAACAAACATAGTGCTTTTTAAAAAACGTGGTGCTTCTTCCATTTTCAATCACTGTAGTCAAAATACTGTAGGTAGAAAAAAAGGATGTGGGGACTAAATACAAAGAGAATATGGTTCATAACTAAAGAAAAGAATGTTTGAATCAATTTGAAAAGTTTGGTACCCCAAATAAAAATGTTTATTAGCTTTTTATTATTTTCTAAAATGATCAAATCAACTTAAAAGTATAAAATGCATAATAATAAATTTTGTTAGGTTATACAAACTAATTTTGTTTAGTTTTCTACAAACTAGATGGATGGTGATAAAGATCATGAAACAAACTTTATATGGCCTTGTAATCATCGCAACCCTTTGTGTATGAGAATAGCCTGAACTCTGAAGATCTACAACTCAAAATATTCATAAGAGAATCGTTGAAGGGTTTGGAAACGTGCGATGCCACGACTTCACGTGATTGTGTTAATTTCACAAAATTTGCTTTTTGGATCAAATGTCACTTTAATGTTGATATTTAATTTTATAGTATTATTATCTTATCGTACGATCCGTGTGCTTTTAGTAGTATAAAATGTTAACTATCGCGTAGCAACGCTCGGGCACGAACCTAGTAGAAACTAAGCCTATCAAACAAATTTTTATGATTTATGGATTTAGAAAAAGTTAATTTCGAAATAAACAAATGCATGCAAATCATCATTTACTTTCAAAATACAACAAACACTTTATAAGTCCATATATTTTATCATCTGGAGGAACAGTGTGAATCTATCAAATTGATCTCATAATCAGATATATGATGATGATTTTTTCCTACGAATTTCACAAGATATGCATGTGTGTTGGGGTGATGATGATGATGTAGCTAGACTAATCATTAATGGGCTGCACACTGAGCCTTGGCCCAATGGTTATGTGGGCGTTAATGTGAAATGCCTAGTGTAGGGTCGAGCAACGCTGAGCCATAAAATCCATGCCCAGCAAGTTGTCCACTTTGGATGCGGATATCCACGCGGATCTCTCCGTGGTGTGCTACTCACGCTTGAGTGCTTTCCGACAGGTGATCCACTGCTACGCCTCTTCGCCCCGATGGATGCGAAATTGCGATCAAGACTTGTTGGATGGCCTCATCGTCATCGACCCTTTCGGATCAAATAGCCTGAACTCTGAAGAGAAGGATTCATAGCAAATACTAGCAATGCAAACAGGTGGAAACGTAACCGTGCCACGACAGTATGGTATGAACTATGTATCGTCAGCTTGAGCTGACTGCATAGCGCAGAGTAGTCGTGCTGTGAACTTCGCACTGCAGCGTAAGAATGGCAGCAGATCGGTTGCCCTAACTTGATATCCGCGGGTTCGGGTCCATGGTTTTCGTTCTGTTCAGGATTTTAGCATAACTTGATTTATGTTGTAGATAACCGAAATACACGGTTTTAGGCGGATCCTGGAATTTCATCAATGGAGCTCCATTGGGGCCCCAAATATTGAGCCCACCTCAGCCCAACTAAGAACTATTATTATAGCTCTAAAATCCTTGTTGCCTTGCCAACCCTCAATCCCTCATCCATCATTGTTATTTACAAAGTGTGTTCGATTATTGTATGTTATAATAGTTTGCAGCACCCACTTACCCCGACGAGCGGCGACACACGGCCTTTTTCACTTGCTGGTGTGATTTTGGCTGCGTTAGGTCCGCGACAATACCCTGTTGTGGATGGACCTGAACCCTCATCCTAGAGCATATGGGATCAAGACTGCTGACAGCAACTGATCGTGATCGATCTTCCGGATACAGCTTCATGAGAGAATATGGTCGGCGGGTCGACGACGCCCGTTTGTTTCCGCGATGCCGTATCGGCGGTGCGGAGGAGGCGTGTTCAAGCGGAGAGCGAGAGGGCGGAGGCTGCGCGCATCCTTCCCTAGATCTCGAATTTTCCGGGTTTGGATTTATCCGTGAAAGAGTTTGAGGATCCCATGCCGCAGAGTGTTGGGGATGGATTTTCACCCCAATTGGTATTGGGTGGTTTTGAGTTTTAGGATCGGGTTTTGGTTTTTGGGTGCCTTGCTTTATTCCACCGATCTGAACCCGCTTTGTTGCCATCTTTTAGTGTGCGGGTTTGTGCAACCGAATACTTTAATTTAACTATTTTAGCCTTGGCAGCGCAAATGGTCCCATGGTCTAGTGGTCAGGACATTGGACTCTGAATCCAGTAACCCGAGTTCAAATCTCGGTGGGACCTTGTTTTTATGCCTATTTTTTTTTCCTCAACAACGGTTCTTTCTTGCTTTTTTTTTTTTTTTTGTGTGCAAGAACAACGGTTCAACCGTTCAAGCAAGGCTGCAAGGGTAGCAATTAACGCGGACTTCCGTAACTCTGTTTCCATGGAGCCGAGGTCACCTAAGGACAGTCATAACGCATAAACTATGGAGTAAGATATATTTTTTTATACTTGTCAAATTATATAGACACTACATAAAAATTATATTTTCAATATATAGTTTCCAACTTTCTAAAGAATAATTTTGTTCAATTAAATGTTTTCTCTCCATCATCTGTTATCATTTGTCTTCATATCTTGGTTCTTGTGTAGATATGGTTTCTTATCTAAGAAATCATTTCCTCTTCTCTCTTCTTTCATTTTAGTACCACATTATCTTTTTTTGCTTAGTTAGCACCTTAACTAATGAACATATAAATCATATAGTTTGTTGGTTGGGAGTCCCATAAACCAGTTAGATCGCCGTTGCCCTAACTTGTTATAATTTATTTGCTGCTTCGTTCGGTCAGGATTTTAGCATAACTTGAAACATGTTGTAGATAAGCGCGAACATATTTATTTTTTTTTTTGTAGTGAAACAATGGTGCTGTGTAGAATTGGGGAAATCACCTCACTTCTTTTGAGGGGACTATTGTTGTATCTCTAATATGCTGACCTTGCTACTAATTCTTCCATTTTTTGTTATTTACAAAGTGTGTTGGATTATTGTATGTTATAATAGTTTGCAGCACCCATTACCTGACACACTGTTTTCACTTGCTGGTGTGATTTTGGCTGCGTTGGGTTTATAATACCCTGTTGTGGATGGACCTGAACCCGCATCCTAGAGCATATGGGAGCAAGACTGCTGACAGCAACTTGGTGATCGATCTTCCGGATACAGCTTCATGAGTTTTACATATTTATTTATATTTATTAGAGGTTT